TGTCGGCTCACTACACCCACAGAAAAATAATGTCTTCTATTTGATGGATAAATAAGTTTCCACACAAGTCTTTGATATCTCCTTTTTTTTCAACTAGGGTGTTATCCTCTCCTTTTGATGCTAGTCGATTGGAATCCACAAGGGTATTTGTTGCTTTCCACCCCAACGTTCTTGTCTACTTTAATAATTCAATGATATATTTGATTTAGCTATTTCCATTTCCAGGAAGTTCCAAAACTCGGAAGTCATTATTCTTTTGATTGCTTTAAGTTTATTACGTTATTGCTTGTAAAAATAATGTCATTTAAGATAAACAATAAGGATGTCTGTCATATATTTTTTATTTTATTTCCCAAACAAAGTGTATCAGCCTGACAGTAATAGTACTCATTAACAAGAATAGTTTTGGTGAATCTTTCAAACCATGCACTTGGAGATTTGTTCAACTCATACAATAATTTCTTTAGTTTGTGCCCTAGTTGATTATTTGTGTTGTTCTTTAATTCCGAATGTTTCTCTATATACACTTCTTCCTCACGATTCTCATTAAGAAATGCATTTACAATGTCTAGCTGATATAAAGGTCAGTCTTCATTGATAACCAAAGACAATAATACTCTTAATGTGTTGAGTTTTGCCACTAGTGCAAGTCTCTTGGTAGTCGATCTCATAGGACTGAGTGAACTCTTATGTTACAATTTTAGCCTTAAATTTTTCTATACCCCCATCTGGTTTGTATTTAATAATGAATATCCATTTGTACCCTACATTTTATTACTCAGTCCTATGAGTGATAATTTTCTATTCAGGTATCATTCTTTTCAAGGGAAAAATCCTTCTCTTCCACACTCTTTTTCTAAGCAAGAATAGATAAGATCTCTTGGATTTAATTTGAGACATGCACATTATCCGAGTTTTAAACCATAGATTTCTAAGAGGGTGATAATTTTTCATAGGCCACAAATTTGTTTGTTGGGTGTTTTGTGCATTTTTTTCTCCTTCCTCTTGGTGCTCATGATGTAATGACCCAACCTCTGTATGAATACTTGGCCTGTGTGGAGTTGATTTCTGTGATTTGCATTCTTAATTTTGCATATTTGTCCTTTACATGCTCACTAGGTCTTTTTTTTTTGGTGTGCACGTTCTTGGTTCTTAGTGGGAGTTGTGGGAGAGTAGTAGGTTCATTTTCAGGTTGATTTGTGATAGTGGGATAAGAGTGATTTCATCAAGGGATATGAGAGAAGTGAGCTTGAAGTTTTTGAATCGTACCCCAAATTTGATTTCCTCTCCACCTCTCTTCCTAAATGTTAGGTTTGTGATAATATGGGTGGCTTTCGAAGAATGTGACATCCATAGAGTTATAAAATTTGTATTTCTGGAGAGTAGCATTTATAGACATTTCTGTTTGAAGAATGGTCCGCAAAGATGCATTTGATTGACCTAAGGTCAAGTTTGGTTTAATGTGATTGATGTAGATGTACAAAAGCGATGCAGCCAAAAAATTTTGGTGGTAAGTTAGAGTTGAAAGATTGAATATGAGGTAGGATTTTATGAGTGTTGAGAGGTTTATTAAAGTTTAGAACTCTGTCGAGCATTCTATTTATGAGATAAGTGGATGTGAAAATTGCATCCCTAAAAGTGTTTAGGTACATTATTAATGAATAGAATTGAATGGGCCACTTCAAGCAGATATCTATTCACTCAACCACATAATTTTGTTGGAGTGTATCAACACAAGAACTTATATAAATGATGTTATTTTTGTATAGATTAGGATTTAGAATGGAGTTTCAGTAGTCTTTACATTATCGATTTTTGAGAATCTAAATTTTTCTCTAAAATTCGGTGAGGATCATGTTGTGGAAGGTTTCAGATATGATGGTAGTTTCAATTTTTTTCTTCTTGAGAAAAGTCAAAGTGGTTCCGGAGTGATCATCAATAAGTGACCTTAGATATCTTTATAAAATCATGGAGAAGGGATATGGTGGTTTGTATTTCAGGATTGGATACACTTAACGAGTATGTTTAGGATGTTGGCATGTTACACTCTAATAAAAACTTGGTTTTCTTTGTTGATAAACAAATCTGGATATGATTTTTCGTTATAATATAAATTAGGATATCCGAGACGAAAAGGACATAACATAACTTGAGTTTCATTAGAAACAAACTCAAATACAAGACTTGACTCAAATGATTGTGAATGGTGGGATGATCTTTTTGAATTGGGAGTTCTAGTGCGCAAATAAAATCCATGATACATGTCATCACTATTAATCACTTTTCTTGAGTCCATTTGAAATTCGTATAAATTAGGGCAGAATTTAATAATACAGTTCATGTCATAAGTTTACTAATGGATAATAAATTGTAGTTAAGTTTAGGATCATAAAGAACATATTGAAGAATAAGATCCTTTGTGAGTTTCCACACTTCCTCTTCCTTCCACAGATGAGAGGGAGACATCTGTAGTTCTAACTGTAACATGGTGTTTGCAATAATAGGACTGAAAAGCAGTTATATCACCTGTCATGCGATCAAATACTTTAGAGTGATTCTTTCTTTTGAGACAAGCGACAACAGATGAAAGACTGCCATGCTCTGCTAGAAGACTGGTAGAAGGCTCTGAATGTTGTCCTAGAAGTCTTTGGAGAGTTTCAAATTGTTCCTTGCTAAAAGGACTATGTACATGAGACTTGTCTTTCTTTGATGTCTTGTTTTCTTGATTTTTCCCATCACCTTTGACTTTATTGGGCTTTTAATCTACAAGCTTTTAGATGACCAAGCTTTTTACAATGTTAACACCATAGCTTGTTCCTCTTTAATTTTTTGTTATGTGATTATTTGTGAGTGTCTAAAGCCAAGTTGTCAATATTTGTTGTATTGGGACTGCTTGTCATCATTTGGTTCTTCCCGCTTTTTTCTTTTCACACTTCAACAAATACTTCATGAATTGAGGGAAGATGTTTGGTCTTATGATTTTTCCTCTGACTTCTTCTAGTTTCTTGTTAAGTCCTAGAAGAAACTTCATGGTTCTTCTTTATTCAACAATTATTTTGTAAAAGGCAGAATTTTGTGGGCATCTCCATTTGTATGGTTTATACATATATAGTTAGAGCTAATATTTGAAGAGAGTGTTGAAGTATTGAGTAACATTCAACTCACAATGACGTGTGTCATTTAATATAGTTTCAATGTCAAACAATTCAAAGGCATTATCAACACTTGAAGAGGTTTTCCTTGTGATGTCTCATATTTCTCTTGTCGTTTTGCTTAGGAGGAATTTTTTCTTCAATTTTCATGGCCATCGAGTTGGCAAGCTATGACATGACTATGTGATCCTCAATCGTTTATGTTCAATGTTTAAAATCATTAATTTCTGTTGCAGGATTTTCTTTGATGAGATGATTATCTTTTCCTTACAACAAATGTATGGAGACATTAGAGATTGTTTGATTGCCAACAAATGGAGTGTATTGCAATTCTTTTGCAGAAGATTTAAAAAATTTAAGCATTTACTGGAAATAAAAATAAATGCAGTGTAAAATTTCAATGTATTTGGAATTCACTCTCTTGTTCACTTTCAATAAGTTTAAAAGTTTGTTGGATTTGGATGCAGACGCTGTTATTGTAGCTGTTGGCGACAGTTGACTTTGGAAAGTTACAGTGGACAACGACACTACTTTACGCAAAACAATGTATTTAAAATTTGCCCAAATCTATATAGGATATTTAATTAATTTATAAATTAATTAAATATTCTCCATGAACACATATATAGGCTATTGGAGAAAATTATTGTCCTATAGTTTGTGATTAGCGATGCAGGAAGAGATTTCAGATGCTGCAGAATTAAACATCCCAAGTTTATGTGCAGAAGTAATTTTTGAAGAGGAAGAAATGCTTTCATGCTGTATTTTGCTTGTTATGATAAGGTGGGAGAAACTGTCTCGGTTGACACTGGATTTCCACTCTTATCAACATAGGATTTTTCGCCCTAGAGAATGTCACTGACACTGTATTTTCACAAGGGATTTCCACCAGAGAGAAATTATTTGTTGACGACACATGATTTCTGCACAACAACTACGCAAATGAGATGTTGGCAAAGGTATGATATTTTCTCTCTCTAAAGAGAGAAAGTCTACCAGAAAAGTGAGTGCAGGGATAGACTCACACCTACCAGGAAGGTCTCTTCTGCCGCGCCTTTCAACTGAGTGAGGCCTGCAAAGAAGGAACCTTGAAGGAATCGTGCTTCCAGGGAAGGACTTGCAAAGTAATAGTGCTTGGAAAGGTCTCTAGGATTTCCGTCATTGAAGGTCGGGTGATCCAGCGATCAAGGAAAAGAGCTATCCAGTAACAGAGGTCTTTGGGCACTGTAGCGGTAAGGAGAGCACGAGGAAAGGAGAGGTCGACAACAACAACAGAGGCTTGCAGGCTAGTGGAAGGAATTTCAACGGTTGCGGGGAAGATTTCGTTTGTTGGAGTGGCTATAGAATTGAAAGAAGAGCCAGGGTGTGTTTAATTGCTCTGATATCGTTCGGAATTTAGGATGAATTTTCTTAGAGGAAATTTCTAATTTTTTCATTAAGCAAATAACAAATATATATATCATGAACTAACCCTCATACAATTTATGGTAAATTCAATTCATCATGATGAAAAGGAAATAAATAAAAAATACAATATTGGATAATTAAAGAAGAATAATTTCTCCTTCTCAAATATAACAGCAGATCCACAGTTTTCTAAACTGTGGGTGGGCCCTTGTGGACCTCAGTTATATGCAATATGTGTGTGTGTGTGTATGTGTATTTTTTGTACAAAATATTTGTTTGTAAATGTCTCAAGATGCTTTTGTCCATCCCTTTGTGTTTATACATTTTCCAATAGTGCATATGTTGTGACAACTCCTTCGACATTTACTAATCTTTTCCTTCTCTCTTGTTTGCTTTCTTCTAATACTAATTCTCTGACGGAGCTGCTCTCATATAGTATAGGTAGTCAGAGTGGAACTACTACCACAAGTGGTAACTCTCAGATGCAAGCATGGGTGCAAGGTGCCATTGCTAAGATCAGCAACACTGCTGATGGAGGATCATCAACAACCACACCAAACCCAATCAGTGGCCCTTCTTCCTTTATGCCAATTAGTATAAATACCGGAACATTTCCTGGAACACCTGCTGTTAGGCTTATTGGGGATTGTCATTTTCTTCACCGACTATGTCAGTTGCTTCTATTTTCCCTTATCTTTCGGCGAAGGCACACTACCACTAAACTTGCTATCAGTGCTGTTTCCAAAATAGAAGATGGGCAGGCTCGCACGGGACAATTGGTTGCTGGAGCCAAAGGTCTCGAAGAAGGTAACCAAGGCAAGTCTATACGGCTAGGCTCTGGAAATGCTGGACAGGGATATACATCAGAAGAGGTAATTAGTCGCTGTCTTCTTAGTAGATTGCTGAACAATATGCTATTGAGGCTAATTTCTAATATTGTTGTTCAATTTACGAAAGTATAAAAAATTTGAATTAGAATTGTAGTTCCCCTTCAATATGCCGTTCATATTTTTCCTCGTGGTTGTTTTGATTTATCTACAGTAAATCACGGCACAGACTTGTATTAGCATAAAATCTAAAGTTCAATGCACATCTATTCTCTTGCACGGTATTATATATATCATAGTATGTGTCAAAGGTGTGTGTGTATTCTATATTTTTAAAAAATGGATGTGTTCCATGTCTGTGTCGAATGGTGTCCTTGTCCCTGTGTCCATATCAATGCTTCTGAGTTTGCTACATACTGCAAGTTACACAACAATCGATAAGATATTCCTTTAGGAGGCTCATTTATTAGTTCTATAGCATAATTTTGAAAACTCTGCGATTTTAGTGTCATGACTGTGGTTATTGTGTTAGAGTTTGAACATGGATCTGTCTCAAGTCTCTGTTGACTCTCCGGTGCTTTCTATAAGATATACTACTTTTGGATTGCCTCCGCGATGATTGGGCAGCAGGATCAACATGTTTGCTGGCTTGGCTTTTTTTGTTGATGTTGGCTCTCTCTCTCTCTCTCTCTCTCTCTCTCTCTCTCTCTCTCTCTCTCTCTCTCTCTCTCTCTCTCTCTCTCTCTCTCTCTCTCTCTCTCTCTCTCTCTCTCTCTCTCTCTGTTTTATTGACCATTAAAAATTTTGTTGCTGCTACTGTTATGATTATTCTGTTATTTTTAGAGAAATTTGTGGGGATTTAAACTCTTATGCAAAATGATCTGCTACGCTTAGTAGCTTTTTTGGAGTTGATCCTTTGTTTGGAAAACTCCTTGCCCTGATTTCTTGAAATTTTCTAGCCTGGCCTATGATGATGGCACTCTTGGTGAGGTAGTTATCATCATCCATGAACCTGTGAGAGGCCTTCTTAAACATTCATATAGTTTTTTAAACTCTTCTATATAATACAAACTAGAGACCAAGAGATCCTCGATGGTTTTTTGACACAGAATTATGCCAGGAATGAATAAGAGAACTCCTAGAATGAGTATCTACTCGCGAAGGGCAAATTATTGGTTGACCTTCATGAAAGTCTTTAAGGTGTTGGAAAATATCCAGCTCTTATTAGCATTTGAGATGTATAGTGACCGAGCTTTCTCAAATGTGCTCAAGTGGCCTGTCAATTTAGTTGTTCGCTTATTCATCTTTGATTGAGTAGCTTAGAAATTTTAGGGAGAACAAAGAGTCGGGCATGGTTCTACTCGAATGAGGAGATGGATTAGGAATACATTCAATTATGAGCTCTTTGCACAGTAGTAGGTTGGTACTTGACGGTAGCCTTGATTTTTTTTTTTATGATGGGAGTTAGTCAACGGTGAAGCTCCTCGAATTGAGCATCCAAGTGCCCTTGAGCGACATAAGTAATTCCATTGTATGGCTCACCAATACTATGCTTAGAGTGCATTATTACAATCAAAATATGAAATTTTAATCATACACCATTGTTTTTATTTTCTTGAGCTATTACTCTCTTTTTTTTCTAAGATTCAATTGACTTTTTCACTGATGCTGCCGATGAATATGAATAAGATGTTCATGTGTTAAGAGTTAAAAGATTTGAGAAAGCATTGTTCTTGAGTTATTATATAACGAGGCGAGGTAATACAAAAATTGGTATGACGATCTACCTTTGTTATGAGGTGAGCCAAGAGGAATATGCTTTATTAAATAAGGATGTAGATGATCCATCTATTGTGAATTTGAATGCTTACATAAGGGGTTTATACATATGTAGGTGTGATATGATTTAAATAAAGCCTATGTATGATTGTGTTTGATGCAAAGTTTAAAAAGGTAAAATGGGAGCTGAGACGTTTTGCCTTAGCGAGGCAAGGTGTAGGCCTCGAGCCGGATTGAGGCCTTGGCCTCAGGAAATAAAAAATAAAAAACTCATAAAATTAAAAATAATTCAAAAGTATGGAAAAATATTGATCTGTTGATATAACTTATTATCATAAGACGTGAATCATAAATTTTAATCTTAAATATTGATATAAAATAAAAGTTTGAACTGTGATTCTGGGTAAATATTCACTTAAAATTTAAATATTCTATGAGGTTCAAATTCATAATGACCTCATTCTTAGTTGATCATTTTCAAAAAAATTATCGTATTTATTATCATCTAATTGTCTCGTTTGCAACTTCAAAATATTCTTCATTCACCACAATTTTTTCTCACTATTAATTAATCTAATATCCTATATTATTTAAAATAAAAGAAAATATTAATATTATAATCATGTAATCATGCTCAAATTATTTCTTTATTTTATCAAATATATTAAATATAATATGATATAATATAATGTAATATATATTAATTAAATAATATAATTTATTTGTTTTGCATAACTTAATCAAGTTGTTGCCTCAAACGTCTCGAGGCATGAAGCCTTGAGGCGTGTGCATTCGACAAAAAAGGTGCATGCCTCTAGGTTTTTTTTTGCACCTTAGTTTGAGGCACGCTTGGAGGCGTAAGCCTCAAGAGCCTTTTAAAACAATGGTTTGGTGTCAATGTCGTGATGATTTTCTCCTTGAGGAGTTTTGACTATTACTAGCTATGGCAGTATGTGTTCTCGAAAAGGTGATTAAAGTTCCATTAAATGTTTGAGCAATCTAAGGAGTTCTTTCTTTTATTTGTATCTGTTAAACAAAACTATGACGAGAAAAGTTTCTTTTAATGCAGGTGAAGGTACTTTTCCTCATACTGGTAGATCTTTGCAGAAGAACAGCTCCACTGCAGCACCCGTTGCCCACGTCGCAAGTTGGGTCGAGCAATATAAATATACGGTTGCACTACATTGATGGGAATTATACTGTGCTACCTGAGGTGGTCGAAGCATCTCTAGGACCCCACATGCAGGTTTGTGCTAAATTATTTTTGCATGTTTTTTGCGTCCTTTTGCAATTTAGTGTTAATTTAATACTCTGGTGATTCTGTTGTGTCCCAATCTTTCATAAATTTTGGCATTCCAGAGGCCCTTTTGTCACCATCTTGTCCTACACATTGATCTTTCATTATACAGCACCCTCATGGACATTTTGTTAGATTTTCGGTATTAATATTTATTTTTTAAAAGGAAGATTAGCATACATATCACAAAATTTCTATTTATTTACATATCTAAACACTTCATATTTTATTTTTTATTGTTCCTCCCTACCCATGCAGGGAAGGGTGTTTTTCACTTTTTAGAAGTTAATGGTAGTGGTACTTTTGATGTGATATGAAAGATTTGAATTTTACAAATATAAAATTCAAAATTTAGATGTTAGAATTGTAAAGAAAATCGGCTCTTTGGTCTTTGATTTTAATATGCTTTCTATGTGCAGAATATGCCTCGGCCTAGAGGTGCTGATGCTGCGGGTCTTTTACTTCGTGAGTTGGAGCTACACCCCCCAGCAGAAGAGTGGCATAGACGCAACATGTTTGGCGGACCATGGTCAGATCCTGGAGATGCTGGTCCTTTGGATTACGCTGCCAAGTCGAAGCTCGCTGGTTCAGATCCTTGTGCAACTAAATTAGCCGAGAACAACGATGACTTTTCTGGAAGCCAGTGCCTCTGGCCGAGGAAACGGAGAATGTCGGAGCGAGATGCAGCTTTTGGTCTGAAAACATCGGTCGGATTGGGAGCTTGTCTTGGTATAATGGGATCTCGTAGGGATGTCGTTACTGCTACATGGAAGACAGGACTTGAGGGTGTTTGGTACAAGGTTCGCCTCCTCATCTAATGTCTATTTATTCACTTTCACTAGAGCTGCCTATAACACCTTAAATTTAGGGAAGATTTAATTGCATATCACTCAATACCTGTATTATTTATATATCTAACATCTTTTTTTATGCATGAAAATATGTATTTTAGTTTTTTTAAAAATAAAATGGTGCTACTTTTATGTGATACGAAAGATTTGAGTGTTTTAAATAAATAATAATAATTATAATAATAATAATAATAAAATTTAGATGTTAGATATGTAAATACATCGGAATTGGGTGGTATGCATATAAATGCCCTTTTATTTTATCATTGTTAAGTAATGTAATTATAAGCTATGGGATGTAACTAAAATGTTAGGAATGAGACTGAATAACTAATTGCTCGAGTTAATCTTGGAAATGTTTTAGTTATTTCATTTTGTTTAGCAAAGCATTTGTTGTTTTGTGAAAATGCAGTGCGTCAGATGTTTGCGGCAGACTTGCGCATTTTCTCAGCCTGGCTCTCCCCCTCCAGATAACGAACGGGAAGCATGGTGGATTAGTCGCTGGGCTTACGGTTGCCCTATGTGTGGTGGGACATGGGTCCGTGTTGTTTAGTTTTGTAACTTCTATCTTCATTTTCACATAAATTTTATACGGACAGATTGTTCTAGAGGATAGGCATAGCCTTCTGTAATGTTGTATATATATATATATATATATATTAATTTGACCTAGAATCTAGAAGGATATTGAATAGGCAAGATGCCTTCATTTCTTAGTTTAGAGTAGATCTTTGTAGAGATTAGTGTTTGATTTTGTGATTTAAGAATTTAATGTTGATTCATTTATTTTTAAGATGATTATAATTTTATCATTGTGGTATCTGCTATTGGTAGGTAGGTAGGTAGGTAGGTAGGTAAGGTAGGAGGATTCTTATTATTCTAACATTATAAAATTCTCTTTTGGTGGGGATTTACATACTTATCACACAATTCTTATGTATCTTTAAATATCTAACACCTATACTTCAATATTTACCTAGCACTTAATATTTTTAACACCACATCAAAAGTAGCATTTATTGTCATGTAAATGTAAAATTTTAGGTGTTTGATGTGTAAATTAATACACTTGCTCTCTTTAGAAATGTAGAAGACCTACTATATTAACTGCATTATTAATAATTGATTAGCTACCTGTTAGAATTATTTTTTGTAATTTTGACCAAGTCTATTTGAAAAGTGTACTAGCTAGTAACGGTTGAGGTATTGCCTAGGAATTATTGAGTAGCTTTGAAAATTGGATAATTTTTAGTGGAGATGCATGTTTTCATCGTAGATCACTGCTTCGGTGAGACCCACTTTCAACATTTTATTTTATTTTATTTTTTATTGGGTTTGATAGAATGTAGTAATGGTAACTTCATAAAAATTACATACGACACAATTCTTATTTATTTACATATCCAACACTAAAAATGAAATTAACATAACGCTACTAATAAATAAAGAAGGTTAATTTAACCCCAAAACAAATCCTGAAAAAAGAAGGGCAAATTTGATCAGCAAATAATTACATTTCAGAAATATATTCTGATTCGTTGAAAGTAACAATAAGAGTAATTTACATCAAAATAACATGACAATAGATCCGAACAGGGAAGAGATCAAAGCTTCTCTTCCCCAAAACTCCAATTAGCTGCACTTCCAACCCTAGGCATGGAACTGATTTTAGCGCAGGAATCAACCTTGAAAAAGGCTCCGCACAACGCCCCTTCGCTGTCAACCCTAGGCATCGCCTTCATCTTGTTCATCGGCCGCTCGAAGCTCTTCAACCCGCCCTTGCTATGAAACATACACCCTGAAACATTCACAGACAAGCATTTCAACAAACAGCTACCCTGCCACGCAGCAGCACAAACCGATACCGCCTAACCTGGAGGAAATGGAGCGAAGGACTTTCCGCAGCCGCTCTTAACCGCCTCCACATCGTCGGAGATGACCACCGATCCTTCCGCCGCTATGCCCCAATACAGAGGTATTTCCCCATCCTCGCTCTGCAGAACCATAAAGAATCCATTATCTCATCCTGATTTAGGAGTAGAAGAGAGAAAAAAGAAAAAAGAAGGGGAGTTAGTACTAGAGCTGCAAAGACGGATCCAGCTCTGTTATCGAAGATAACGAAGGCGAAGGAACCGATCAGATCTTTCACGACTTGATCGGCCGGGTAAGGTCCGCGGTCGCGGAGAGTCCGGTAGGCTTCGATTGCGAGAACGGCCTCATCGGAGGATTTCCCGCTGAGGCCGTATTGTCTTATCAGGGAGCTCAGATTGTTCAATCTCCCCACGAAAATGCAGTATAAATCATCTAAGCTGCAGAACAACCTGCAACCAAATTCATGAAATAGATCCCCTCAGAACCACTCTCCGATAACAAATTAGATCGATCCCTGAATATACGTCGATTTACCTTTGATTGAAGGGTGGCCGACCGGGATCAGCCCCGGTAGAGGCGAGGAAGGCCCCGCCGCTGAAGCTGGTGGAGAAAAAGGAGTTGGGGTGGGAAAAATTGAAGTCGCGAAGGATTTCCTGCGGTTCCTTCGCTGATTTCTTGATGCCGCCATGTGAGGAGGGGCTGTTGAGCTCTACAGGTGGTTGGGCGAGGGTTTTGTGGAAAATCGCAAGCATTTTGTGCCCCTTTATCTCAGGTTCTGTAGTGAAGAGTTAGATCTAGAAGAAGAAAGTTGAAGAAAATGAAGGAGGAAGGTTTCTGTTGAGGTATGGATATTTATGTCTAAGTTGTTTTAGTTTTGGATAAGAGGGACACGTTGATCCTCCATGTGTCTGATACCATGGCTGCGTGTATCCGATAAGATTCTTAATAACTCTCTAATTTCCCCTACAACCTCCATTTGCAAACACTTCTTATCTCTCCCAATGTCTTTCTTCAGAATTTGAGATTAATTTCTTGGAATTCTAGATGCATTCATGAAAATAATAGCATTCATAAACGCAAGAACTTAATCCATCAATAACTTGCTATTTCTCAAGATTTTTTTTGCTTTTTAGAGGATAGTGATCTTAATATGTAATGTGAATTATCATTCTTAACATTCTCATTTGGTGGTTATAAGATGAAGTTATCATGACTTCTATAACGCTTTATTTCACAAATTGATATTAAGAAAATGTTTCTTATAAAATATATAAATAGTATGGTTTCAGCATAAATTTGGAGTACTTTTTGATAATTTGTCGGGCATAAATTTTGATCAAATTAGTCTTTGAAACTAATTTGATAAAGTGTTTTCAATATGATGTAATTCATGTATTAATGGAAGAGTTAGTTGTTAATGATAACTATTGCACCATGGACATAGCACCACCACCATCAATTGTGAGCAATAACATGGCTTGGCTCTAGTTTATCAAAGTTGGTTAAACAAGCTTAAATGTAGATCGAGATGATGAAACAATTAGTTAAGTTGATGTGATAATAGAGAGTGCGTGCATTAATGGTTTGTGAAACAGAGTGAAGTGTGCAATACTTATTGGATATTCAATAAGGCAAGAAGAGACTACTAAGCAGAGCTAACGAAAGTAAAAGATAAGAATATGAGACGTAAACAAATATTTAGAGCACTTTGGTTAAGCTTCATATATATGCCATATTTTCATTCAAGATAATATTATTTTTCTCAAGAGTTGGTTGTCCAGAAAACGTCCTCTTTTGAGAAAGCCTTCAAGGGGTAGTGTGAGAAGAATATGTTGTTAAATTATAAGCTATAATAATTTCCCTTCAAGGGGGAGAGAATTTATAGTTTAAATATTTCATAAAACCGCACACACAGACATAAATAACAACTTTGGTGGAGCATGAGGATTTCATGTATAAAATTTGGGAGGAAAGCAAACCATGATGCTCGACTTATTTGAAATGATTTCACTAATGTGAGTTAGAGATGCCTTCCCAATTGTTGGAGAAGGCAATGATAAAAAACTATGGATATGACTTCCATTATAAAAGTATTTGGAGCCTTGAGGTGTGGATTAGCAAAAAGACTAGTAGTAATTTGTTTTGTTTTGTTTCTTTTTTTCTTAATGTAGGAGTGGAGTCCGATCACCATAAAGTGAGTGTTAGCTTAATAGCCATTGCCATTGTTAGCCCCAACAGACATTGATGTTGATAAAGATGATGAATAAAAATGATGAACATAGATATTATTAATGAAGATAGTGTCTACATTTGAAAAAGGGGATTGATTGATTTATTTATTTGTTTGTTTTTGAGAGGAGAATTCTGCCTTTATTTGCATTGAATAAAAAGTTTTCAATTAAATGATCGGTGTTTATCTACATAATCACCCATTATTTCGCAAGCATTTCAATGCTTTAATGATATATTAAATAAGTAATTTTAGTGTCATAGAATTTGTCTTATATTAATGATCATTTTGACTATAAGCATGTAAGATCGGAGATGATTTGGTACCTTTAATGATATTGAAAATTGTGAATTATTCTTCTAAATACTTGATTTTAATACCTTTCAACTAACATTCCTAACATCATTGTGTTATTTTCATTAAAGTTTAGACTATGGATGCCTTAAAAAATAGAGTTCAACAAGCTTTTAAGTTCATATCAAAATAAACGGCTCACTGCACCCGAAACATTATTATTTAGAAAATTTAGCACTCATGTGATATTTTTGGACTACCGAATCAATGTATTTACACGTGTCACTATAAAAATATTGAAACTTTAACAAAAAAAAGAAAAATATTGGTTGAGCTTTTATCATGAATTTTGATATTTGAGCGAGAATATAAAAAAATGGATGAAAGAGTGCCATATTTATAAATATCAATATTTGAGATGCTATATATATATATATGTGTGTAATATGCCCTTTTCTATCATTTTTATTTCTTCTATAAAGGTCATCATGTGGGGCTAGATCATATTTTAGCACATATAAAAAAGATATATTTTTTTTATTATTTTTTTGTAATTATTTTGGGATTACTTGCTAATCCTATTGGCTGGAGCATACGCCATTCTGTGGGCAAATCTGCTTGCGCTGCCGGGAAAGGCTGTGGTTTGCCATTAATCTGACTAATTTGTACTCTCCTATTATTATTATTATTATTATTATTATGTAAAAAATAAAAGTCAAAACACTTTTTAAATGTAATAAAAATTTTTCAGATGTAAGAAAAATATATAAAAAAATAATATTTAAGATGTTATGATCAAATTTATAATCATATTTATATCAAATTTATTGATTTTTCAAAATAAACATAAGATAGATTTTAAATGAGTATATATAGATTGAATTTATCTTAAGATAAATTTAATATTTTCTTAAAATATTATGATATCAATTTGTGCTTTGTCGACAAAGCGCAATTGATATGCTATAACAATGTTTGAACATAATATTTTTTTTCTTGTAATTAGAGAAAAGTTTACTAATGTCTTCTAGATGTCTAGAGGCCGGTGTGGATCAAATTGCACTGTACACACAGGTCATTGTTCGGACATACGATGTTCAAACATAATATTTTCTTGTATAGTTGAAGTTATTATTCTTCTTCAGAAGAAAAAAAACTTGTCCAGACGCCAAGATACCCCCTATCTGACTTCTTTCTATCCTTTCCCTTCGTAATTGGAAGGTCTTTCAAATGGATACCTCTAGTTCTTTCCTTCATGGCCATTTTTAAGACACGGTTTATATGCATCAACAAACGGGCTATAAGGATTCTACTCATCCATTATGTATGTCTTCTTCAAAAATCAATCTATGGCCTTAAGCAGGCTCCTAGGCATTGGAATGCTACATTCACTACTCATCATTTAAACTTCGGGTTCACTCTTAGCAATGTCGACCCGTCTCTCTATATTTACAAAACCATGACCTATATACTCTACCTCCTACTATACTTTGATGATATTCTGCCAATCAGGAATGACATTGCTCTTATATAGAAACTTTATCATGAATTACATCAACATTTCTCAATGAAATTTTTGGATTTTATATCTACCTTTCTTGGGATCAATATTGCTTATACTCCATACTGTTATCACCTTAGTCGAAGAGTTTATGTACAAGATATGCTTCAGCGCGCTTGTGCGTCAACTTGCAAATCAATTTCCACTCTGCAAGCTCTTCCCTCGAATTCGGCACAAGATCTCTCGGTCCCCTTCACTAACCCAACTCTGTTTTGGCAACTTGTCAGATCCCTTTACTATCTTACATTAACACGACCTAATATTATGGTGATTGTTAATTCCCTCTCTCAGCATTATCAACAACTTAAGCGGCTTGTCCGCGGTGTTTATGACAATGATGTTTTTTGACTTCCCTTTCAAGCTAGTTGTCTTACTCTTCATACATATGTTAATGCAAGTTGGGCTAGTGATGTCACCGAATGACGCTCCATCACCGACTATTGTATTTTCATCGGTCCCAACCTCTTCTCCTGAACTATTAAGAAGCAACCAACGACTACTCGATCCTCCACCGAAGCTGAGTACAGAGCTATATCTTCCGCTATCGCTGATGTTATGTGGCTCTGCAAACTCTCCAGGACTTTCAAATTACTACCTCCATTCCTACTACCACTTTTTGTGATAATCAATCAGCCATGACCCTCGCTCAAAATCCTATTTTTCATGCTCTCATGAAGCATATTGAGATCGACTACCATTTTGTTAGGGACCGCGTCCAATCTCTTGCAATTACACTTCAATATCTTTCTTCAGAATAGCAAGTAGCTAATATCCTCACTAAGCCACTTTTCTCTTATCGATCCTGCACTCTTCGTGACAAACTAACAATATCACTACCAAATATTATTAGTTCGCGGGGGACTAATAACGTCCCTAACTAAGCTTCTTCTATTCGGTTATTCAGTTTTACTTTGCAATTATATAGTTGTATATAATTTGTATGCTGTAATGGTTACTTTAGGTTTTAATAAAATTCAGATTAACAAGCCTATAAGCTTGGTTTAGCCCACATGCGATTTCCATGTCAAGCCTACTTTTGATCGAATTCAGTTGGGCCGCTCTAGAAAGAGGCCGGACCCCGTTCTTTTCATGTCCATTCTTTATATTGCCTTCCAACTTTTACAAACTTAAATTTCGAACTATCTTTCCAAAATATTAATCCTCGACCCTCTCATTTATGACATATAATACTAAAAATTAGGGAAAATAATACACATACCCCGCAATTTTTATGTAATTACATACATAACATTTAAACTTCCATATTTATAATTATAACCCTTCATTAATAGTAACTTAAACATGTGCATAAAAATGTTTATTTCAGTTATAAAAATATTATTAAAAACTTAAATTTTTTTGAAAGTATATGTGAAAATATAGGAAGCAGATATGTAAATACATAAGATTCGTGTGATATAAATGTAAATGCACCCCAAAATATTTTTTCAAGGCATGATTATAACACAAGATCATAATGAATTTCAAATTAGGAGGAATAAAAATCTGGTTTTGGAGAAGCCATTGAAGATATTGTTATTTTTGGTATAATTTTACATATATTATATGATGTGATGATAATTTATATAATGTGGCTGAAGATGATGTGGTTGGCAGCGTTCGGTGCAGCATAAAAATCTCTACTTTATTCGAGGGTACAGCCAAAGGACGCTACGGCATTGTATTTAT